TAAAGTTAAAAAAATAAATCTTATTTCAGATTTATTTAAATTGGCTAATTAAAATAAATGAATATTCATAAAAACTTTGTTGTACTAGACAGGAAACTGTTCCTGAAGCATTAACTATTTTTTTTACTAATGATTTATCTCATAGTAAACTTGCTTAACATGCAATGAATCCAAACCAGTCATATTTCTGTGCATAAAATTGAAAATTAAAAAGTTATCAAGACTGCATTGCAAAATTTCCAAAAGCCTCTTAATATTATTTAAATCAAAAAAGAAGGGGGATAGTGGAATAATCCCCTGTGAGTAAATTACATCAAGAAAATTTTACTTTAAAAATTATTTTTCACTTGTAATGCTGAAGACAAGATACCCATGAAAACACACATGATGTAAAAATAAGCCAAAGGAAAATCGTTTGGGCAAATAGGAAAGGCTCCCACGTCTAGTTTATAGTAAAGATTCCCTTATTAACCTTTGGTCAAGAATATGTTTGTATATTTCCAGAAAACTCCTCCAAGCCCGTGTGGATTTCCTGCAACAACAGATCCCAGAGAGAAACTGACCAGATTGCTCCAGCCAGGAAGACAGGAGGAGAAACAGTCCAGAGATGGAGATGGTGAAGACACCTTGCCATACTAGCAGTCAGCAGCTGTGCCTCGCTGCAGGTTGCCCAGGACCAAGCCAGAGAAGGTCAGACCTGATTGCCACCGTTTGCCCACCATCCAGAACTAGCATATCATTGCTGGCGTGTACACATAAGGAACTGTTGGACATGGAAATTGGGACTCAAAGAACTGTTGGCCCAGAAAGAAACTTACTACAGACTGATTCATCTGCCTCTCAGCATAACCACTATTGCTTGTCTCATTTTTGTTCTCATGTTTATTTCTAGTCTGCAGATGCGGAATGAAGAGTCTTGAAAGGACTGGAACCCTTTTAGGTGGCATTCACTTTTCAAGACATTTTAAGGAAAAGAGAAGGGGGAGATGTGGGAAGCTGCCTATTGTCTTCACTAGCAGAGAGGTGTGGACAAGGAACCCGGAAGGCTGGTGATCCTTGAAGCCCTGGCAAAGGTCAGAGCTGTGCACCCACTGTTAGTCCAGACAATGGTAGCTGAAGCAACTTCCCCATTTACTATTATGTAAATCCTTGCTGATGGGCTAGTCTGCCTGTTACTGGAAATTGCCTGCCTAAGGGCTATGGGTGTATCCCAAACCAATAAAAGGTTGGCGAGGCCTGAGCACCAGTGGAAGTCCTTCCCCTTGAGTTGGACTTACCCGCCTGGCCCCCCAATATTTCCAAATTATCTCTTGTCTCTTCTCTTTCATTTGTGTGCGGCTCCTCTTCCAGGACCCTGAACCCCTGAACCACGCAGGACGTGGGGGAACAAACTTTCCATAATTCATCCCAAAATGGCAGGGTTTTAAAATATTAAAAATTTAAATACTTATGAACCCATCACAAGAACCAGAGGATAACAACTGTGGGAGCCTGACCAGACTCCGCCGGACGTGCCTTGAACATGTGCCAAGGCGGTGACTCGGCAGTCTTACTGTGCGCACTGCGCAGGCGCCTTTCTAGAACACAGACACTGGCGTCCCTGCTTGGCCAGAAGCCCCTGCTGTCTGAGTTGGTATAAAATGTGCTGCTGACCAGCAGGGGCGGCTGCTTGTGGGGCTACTTTGAAGAACTGCTTTGTCTGACGGCTCCTGTTTGCCACCGTGTGAGCAAGGACTGCTTTGTGGGGCTGCTGTGTCTGCAATGGCCACTTGTTCTGCAATAAAGTCTCTCCTCTATGGCGGGGCTCCTCATCTTCACCCACTGCCCGGTGTCCACAGGGGTCCAGTCCCTCGCAGGGGAACTGAGGCCCAACACCAACACACAATAACCTATGCCCCCTCCCCTTCCTTCCCACATACCCCACAGGCAACCACAATCCTTTTGTCCATATTTAAAAGGATATCGTAAGGTATATACACTTCTGACATTTTTCGCTGTATTCTCCGTACAAATCATGTGTGATCCATCCCCATCCACATGGAAAGTGTTGTTGAATCCGGCAGCTGCTGCTCCTGAGCGCGGGGCCAAGGCACTGGCTCCGTCATGCCCAGGGACAGGAGTCCGTTCCAGGGCACATTTTCTTGGACTGCTACAAGCAAGGTGCCCTTGAGGCCGGGACTGCAGTTCTGATTGGCACTCTCTACCCAGTGTTCCAGCTGCAGATCCTTGAATCAAGGACAGTTACTGTTAAAGGCTCCCGTCTCTCCTTCCCATGCAGGAAAGCATTACATACACATACACATACACATATGCACATATACATATACGCACATACACACACATATACACTTACACATACATATACATATACATATGGTGGGGCACGATATGTGACCAATGTGTTCCATCGCAAGGTGAGTCCTGGCTCTGCTGCTTCCTGCCTGTGCTCCTCGGGTAAGTCACTTTCCCTTTCTGTACCTGTTTCCTTATCAGTAAAATAAGGGTAATATTACCCACTTTGTAGGGTTGTTATGGACATTAAGTAAGTATTATGCATAAATACGAAAGGAATGTATATAATATATTTATGGTATCACATGTATTTACTAGAGGCCTGGTGTGCGAATTCGTACACTGGTGGGGTCCCTCGGGGTGGCCTGCCAAGATCGGGCCTCAGCTCGAACCACCAGCCTCGCCCGGCACCCTGCCTTGGCCTGGCTCCGCCCCCTCACCTGCTCCACCATCCAGCCTACAGGAGATTGGTCAGTGCCTGGGAGCTGGGCAGCTGCCCCGCCCCCCGCCTCCACTGATCACAGTCTGCAGGGCGATCAGGCCCCCACTCACACCCGCCTTGGCCTGGCACTGCCCACTCACCTGTTCCACCATCACCCCCTCACGGTCCCACTCTCCTCGGGGCCCATCGGGGCCAGCATGCCTCCACTGCCGCCTGCTGCCAGCGCCGCACCGTCCCCTGGTAGTCCACACAGGTCATAGCGAGCTGTTGAATCTCCCAGTCGACGACTGCCCCAGGGGACAATTTGCATATCAGGTTTTTATTATATAGGATACTTAAGAGCATTCTGCAAAGCTAACCTGGCCTCATGGAAGCCCCTCTCTATTGCACCTGATTATATTACTTCCCTTAAAATCTGGCAGATGAATGACTGAGGACATATCACCAACTCATGGTCTCCAGCCAGGAAGCCCCATGCCTGGCACAGGACTCCGTGTGACCACAGGAACTTTTCTCCCGAGGCCACGTCCAAAGGCAGAAAGATCCAACCCCCAGGCTGGAGACCTCTCAGCCTAGCCTCTCCCCCTGACAGCCTGCTGCCCCCAGCGCGGTGCTCTGGGCTGGAAATAAAGCTCCGGACGCGGGGATGCACGCCAAGCGCGGCTGCACGACCCAGAGAAGACACGTTCGTGGCGAAGTGGCAGGCGGCCTGATACTGAGCTCAAGGCCCGTGAGGAAGTAGTAGCGCTGCTCCAGCAAATTCAGCTCCGTGGGCAAAGCATCGGCCCTGGGACACAGGGTCATGGGTTCCATTCTGGTCAGGGGCAGGCACCTCAGCTGGTTAGATCTCTGGCCGGAGAAGGCAACCAATCAATGTGTCTCTCACGCTGATGCTTTTCTCTGTCTCTGTCTCCCTCCCACTCTCTCTAAAAATCAATGAGAAACTGTCCTCGGGTGGGGATTAACAACAACGAAGTAGTAGCATGGCACTGAGGAAGGAGTTTTGTCACCCGTTGGAAGTAGAATGTTGGCCAGAACTACTATTCCCCCTCCCCCAACATCTGTGAGCCCAGTCTCACCAAGACCCGGAGAGCAATGCAAACAGCATCCACACTCGCTTTATCTCAGGAGCAGCATGTGCTCAAAGTAGAAGTGAGAGCCACCTTGGGCGCTGTTTAAAGTAATAACCTTAGCCCTCCGACCCTGTGCCTTCTGAATCAATGGCCATGTGTATCCCATCAGAATTGCCTTGTCCTGGCCAGTTTGGCTCAGTGGATAGAGTGTCAGCCTGCAGACTGAAGGGTCCGAGGTTCGATTCCAGCAAGAGCACATGCCCAGGTTGCATGCTTGTCCCCCAGTAGGAGGGCGTGCAGGAGGCAGCTGATCCATGATTCTCTCTCATTGATGTTTCTGTCTCTCTCTCTCTCCTGTCTTCTCGGAAATCAATAAAAACATATTTTTTAAAATTTCCCTTTAAAGGTCGCTTCCCCCAACCCCCAAAGGACATGAAAAAGAGGAGGCAACAGGTCACTGAGTCTCTGGAATACTGCCCCAGAGCCCTTCCGGGGATGCGGTGTGACTGGCCGTCAGTCCCACACCTGACTGGGAGGGTGGGAGCAATGGGTGGTGTTGAGCAGAAAACTACACCTGGTGATGGGCATCCAGCACCAGGACATACCTTTTAGAATGACGCGGGCAGGCATAGCCCTCAGAAAAGACAGCAGCTAAGAGCACTGAGGGACATCACCTCGAAACAGGTGGGGGCCGTTTCCAACATTCTGTAAACTAACTCATCAAACACGTGCAGCCTGTTTAACGGAGTTAATACAAGTATGGCAGAGTGGGCACCAGGGGAGGAGCCTTTCCCAGAAGGAAACTGGAATAAAGGGGCCACTCTGACGGGCCTGCTAGCTCCCCGTGAGGTTCTGAGAGGAGGTCCCGGGCAGAAATCACAGCAACCCCAAAGCCACTGAGTGGGACTGGACAAAAGGTTGCCCATATTGCTTAGCCCCGCCAGCAACGGCAACGTACAAAACCAAACAGTGTGACACACTAGAGGCGGACAGCTGGCTTTTATTTCTGGACAATCTTGATGCTTCTCATTGCATCTGGGAAGGGAGAGAACATGGACCTCCTGTCGCCCACTGCAGGGCTGAGCAGTGGTGTGGATGTCCGCTGGGTGAGAAGGACAGGAAGCGGCAAGGCAACGAGATCCCTTATGCCTGGGGAGGGGCATGGCCAACAGCTCTCTGGCCTGTGCCCCTCCTCACGGGGAGGCCTCCAGGGAATGCCCACGACTCCCTACGTGGCCAGAGAACCCAGGGATCCCACTCCGGGGGCAGATGATCAGAGGAGCTGCGCTCTTGCCTCCTGAGTAACTCAGACTGAAGTAGGGCCGGACAGGCCCACAGAAGGCAGGGTGAGAGAAAGTGAAGGTGTGACACCTCTCTGTCACGTTGTAGAAGGAGACCTCACCAGCCTCGTAGTCCAAGAAACCCCCACCCGCTGCAGAGGGGTCCGCAGGGGAAGGGCAGTCATCAGGGAGGTGAGAGCCCAGTACTCCTTCCCATACCACAAGGACACTGCCCAGAATCCATTCTGGGGGGCAGAGGTCACCCCGCCTTTCCTGCACACTAAGTCTTCACAGACACCGATGGTCCACTTGGCCTTCTCTCCCACCTCCACCTCCCAGGAATGTCTCCCCGCCACGAAGCACGGAGAGCCCAGGACGCAGGGGCACAGGCTGAAGCGCTCGGGGCTGTCAGGCAGGTCCTGCTGGAGGCAGCTGAGCCGCACCTGCCGCAGGTTGTCCGAGAGGACCAGGCTGGGGTAGGCCGTGTCCCAGTCCAGAGTCACGTCCACTGCAGAGACAGCGGGGAAGGGCAGTCAGCTGAGGGCCAGGAGACTCCCTCTAGGTGAGCACCCGCCTTCCCTCCCACCTGCCTGACGGAGAGGAAGAGCGCCCACTACAGGCTGCGCTCATTCATGGTGAAGTACATCTTGAATTTAACACTCAAAAAAAATTGTTTGGATTAGCTGGTTACCTTTGTGAGCCAGGAAATATTGAAATTTTTACCTCTACTCCCTTTCTTTTATATCTTAAGCCACAATGTCCATTATAAACGGAATTTCCCACGTACACTCGGTCTTAGAACTGTGGGAGGACTGGGAACCTGTAACCATTTGCCCATCTTTCAATTCACAGCCTCCCTTCCATGGGATCTTTACTTAGCACAACCAGACCCTATTCATCTCCTCCTAACCCACCTCTTCCTCAAACAGTTGTTTCTAAGCAGCCCGAGCGTTCACACACACCCCCCCCCCCCCCCCCC